TCTTACAGTTAGGAAATTACAATCAGCATTTAAATCTAACGCTGAAACTCCTTCTGTTACTTCACATACTACCACAGTGGATAGCTTTTACAAACAGGGATTTATTCTCTTACAGTTTAGGAGGCTAGAAGTCTAAGTTCAAAGTCCCAGCCCTAGAGGCTGGGTGAAGGCCCTTTGACCTTGGGTTTCAGCTCTGCCTCTCGCTCCTGGCCCACTGAAGCTGCAGGCTTCTCTTAACTCAGGCAGCTGCTGGTTGCCGAGGCTGACAAACCCAAGGTCGACAAGTAAAATGGCACAATCCCAAGATTATCAAGCAATACCAAGCCACTAGCTAAACAGTCCCAAGACAGCAGACAATATGATGGGCTGCTGAATGAAGACTCAGCTACAGGCAGGGTCCAAGTGGGCCAAAAAGCAAAAGACCTTTCTCAAAGCTTCTTTTTATATACCGGAAGCAGACCACATCCCTAAGGCAGCTACTCAGCTGCTCACAGTAGATTCCACTATGGAGGTGATTACCAGTCTCATCATGGAGAATACTACATCCAGCTGCCCAGCCACTCAAAACCAGGCCCAGCCAAGTTGACACATAACCTTAACTACCACACTCACCAAGTATCTTATTATATGTTGCTTGAACCATATACAAAGGGATTTCTAGCCTCTTCCATCAGACTATGTGCCATCATGTTGGTTACTCAACAACTGCCATCCAATTCCAAACTCCTAGAGGACAGGGATCAGATCTTCTCTTTTTCTATCTCCAATCACACTGTTCAGAACATAAACAAAAAAACCAAACCACTGTTGTTGAGTTGATTTTGACTCATAGCTACACTGTAGGACAGTAGAATTGCCCCCACAAGTTTCCCAAGGCTATAATCTTCACAAAAGCAGACTGCCACATTATCTCCCACAGAGTGGTTGGTGGGTTTGAATTGCGAACCTCTTAGTCCGCACCTGACTGCTTAACCACTGTGCCACCAATTCTGTGTTCAGAACACAGGACTCACTAAATACTTGATTCACAGTGAATGAATTTGCTGATCAGTCCCCCTTTACTGCAGTTACATACTAGCTTTAGTCATGACATGTGACACTATCACTGAATTAAAGAGAAAGGAATGAGAAAAAAGGAGAAAAAGGGGGGAGTTCCAACTCTGCTTGTCAAGAGGCAGGTTATCGATTTCAGCGATGGTTTTGAAAAATGCAACAAGCAGGTTGGCAGTTTGGGTTTTTCTGACGAGGAAGAATTTTTCATGCACTTTTGTAAAGAGATGAAAGCACATTTTTCAACCATCATCCCATCAACCTTTGTTTAATAGTTACAACAACCAAATTCCATTGAAAGACTGAAGGGTCCTTTAAGTTTATACCTAATTGTATACATAATAATGGGATGGACAGTGGAGAGAATGATCCCGCAAGTCTCTGCACTTCCTAATCAAGGCCACATAGCTTATCTTCAATATTCATCGATGCCCTCAAATCCATGAAAAGATAGCAAGATGAATCTGGTAATAAATAAATAAAAGTCCTGTATGTTTTACTATTTAGGATACACAATTTGAGAAAGGTCATGTCTTAGTTCTCAGGGCCTTGATTCTTTATACTCAGCAGCAATCATACATAAAAACAAATTCTAATCGGTGAAAAAGAACAAAGCTAGGGTAGATACTGCAGTATTACCTATGACTGAGTAAAGGGAGACACTGTTTTGGAACTGGAACAGGAAGCATATTTGAATGTAGCAACACAACCAAATAAAACTGAAGGAGAGCTCATCCCATGGTTGATAAATAAGAAGTGAGTGCGTTATTTGTGTGGGAATATACAAACAACAACAAGGAAACCTTCAAGGGGATAGAAGCCATGCTCCTCGAGACTGATAGATATAAAAGAGCCACAGAGGACAACTCTGTAGAAGAAAACTATCCTTTGCAACAACACACCAACCTGATGATCCACTGCCACCATGTCTTGCTGTGAGTGTTGTGCCCAAGAATGCTGCAGTGTCCCCACTGGCCCTGCCACCACCATCTGCTCCTCTGATGTGTTCTGTCAGCGTGGAGTCTGCCTGCCCAGCACCTGCCCACATGAGATCAGCCTCCTTCAACCTGCCAACTGTGACACCTGTCCGCCACCATGCTGTGTGCCTGACTCCTATGTGCCATCATGTTGGCTACTCAACAACTGCCATCCAACTCCAAACTTGAATGGGATCTCCGTCACAACCTGTATCCAGCCCTGTGAGTGTGAGCCACCTTGCTGCTAGCCTAAGACATTGAAGGAGCTTGCCCACACTGCCCTGAGAATCTGCAACAGTCATCAAGGGCTGTTATGCAAATGGCTTATAACCAGAAATTCTGGAAGAAAACATTCTGACTTTAATTCTGCTGAAGTGTTCTTTTCATGATTTGAAAGATGATTTCAAATGAGAGGTGCAAAACGTGCTATCATGGACCACCTTACTTTAAAATTTAATAAACATTGCTCCCCAAACCATGCACTGTCTCAATGTTTAATACTATAATTACCCAACGACTCCTGACACATGCATCCTGAACCTATAAATAAATCCTGCAGAACTATATTTTCTGATGACATCAACATATATCTCATAGCTAAAAGGAAGCCTCCTAAGGTTATGTAAATACCTGAAGAAAATTGCTTGGATAGTAAAATATCTTAGGCTCTACGTATATATTCTTTTTAAATTCCAAATTCAGTATCTACTTTTATTTTTTTTTAATTTTTTCCCTGTCACTTTAAATAAATTCACATATGTCCTTAAAGAGGTTGAGAAACTAGAAATTAGAGATCAACATACTCAGAGAAGGGACCCCAAAGACTGAGCTGAGCTTTATTGCTTCATTATCTCTCAGATGAAAGTTTGAATGTAAAACTGTTCAACAACTCTAAAGCACTTCACAAATAGAACAACTCCCTTTGCTTAATTAAGGGGTTATTATATGTCGCTCCTCTAAAAAGAAACACTTTCTTGTTATTCTAATCTATACTTCAATTTCATCGAATTCAAAAAACATTTATCACGTGCCTACTACGTGCCACGCTTTTTTCTAGGTGCTTGAGACAAAGAAGATTATGACTCTCACTTTCAAGTGTCTCATGTAGCAAGTAAGACAAATATAAATGATAAATTGTACAGCAGAATTAAACAAGGACAAAACGGAAATACAGGCAACACGTTTTGGGAGAGTGCATAAAAGAATAGAAGCAAAGAGAACTCATCAACCGTTTCTTTATAAAGTCTGTATTTCACTGACGTTTGAGAGATAAGTGGAATTTGAAAGGTGGAGAATTAGAGAAGGGTATTTTAGACCAGAGAAAGAATATGCACAAGGCCACAGAGGTATAATGGACCTAGGAGATTCTGAGTTTTATTTTTATTTGATATGATCTGTGATAAATATCAGTATTTAAGCAAAAAGCATACCAACTTCACAAGTAAATTCTTCTTCCATGAAATGTATGAAGCTTATCAATTGTTGTTGTTGTTATGTGCCGTCGAGTGGGCCCCGACTCATAGCAACCCCTCCTTGGGTTTCCGAGGCAGTATCACTACAGAAGTAGGATTGCCCAACCTTCCTTCCGAGGAGTGGCTGGTGGGTTTGAACCGCCAGCCTTCTGGTAGCAGTCAAGTGCCTTAGGCACTATGCTACCAGAGCTCCCGCTTATCAATTAGTGACAACAGTATTTTCCACCAATTCATTTTAGTCAGTTTTCCCCTCTTTTAAACAGGTTATATTGTTTTTCCGTAATGTCCTCTCAGGAACAGCCAACCAAGGACTCTATACTTTGCGCTTATCCAGCAATCATTTGCCATTCAACACATTATGTCATTTAGATTCTACTCTCTGAATAATGTTGGGCTGATCATGAGGGGGATGCGAAGATGCTAGAATTGTGGGACATTACACACTGGATATTATCCAGTCTAATCTCATTTGCCAACCTACAGAACGCTAAGTCAAGGCCAACAGAGGTGAAGAATGTTGCATAAGGCATTCCTTAAAGGAATTTATAATCTAGTTTAAGAGTCAAAATGCGAAAATAAATAAATATGCAAAGCAGGGAGTAAGTCAGTGACAAAATGACTTTTACTAATGTCACAGTTCTAAGTCATGTCAGATTAGAGCCCCTTCTAATAATCCACTATTATTCTGGACAGATGATCAAATGGAAATTCTCCTTTTAGTTCCTATTTCATTTTAAAGTATGTACATCATGGGTGTGAAAATGAATGAAGAATGAGATGGTTTTACTTCTGATGTGTATTTAATAAAGGATTGCAACTGAGTGGATCTTTTCTTCCAGAGAATTTACACTATGACTCACTACAAGATTGGCATAACTTTGAGAATAGAGGCTCTTCAAAAAAGAAAAGAAAGAAAGCCATAGTGTAATGCAATCTTTGGAAAATCAGTATAGATTTATTAAGAATAATGAAAAGGAGTTTCATCTGTACCCTTCTGGATGTCAATTTGATTGGTTACTAGAACATGAATTATGCCATCACCAAACAAGGCAAATATGTGTGACATGCACATAGACATATACTACATTCATCTATAAGCAGCCATAAGCTTGTTGGCTTTATTGGGTAGAAAATGTTCCAGTTAATCATTTGAATTGCTTGTTCTGAAATTAGTAATGAAAAATCACATCACATTATTCATATTATTCAAAATTAATGAAAAAGACAAAGAGAAGAGTTTACTGTCAGAAACTATAGCTGAATTGTCATTTGAACTGATTACCCATAACTCACATTAAGTTTTGGCATGCCAGGACCCTCTGAAGATAAAGATGACAAGTCAATGAGTCAAAAACAATTTCATGAAGGTAGTGACTCTTAATGGGCAAGCAAATACCTAACTGATTAGAGAATCTTACAGAAAAAGAGTGGCCTAAACAAAAATAAGGATAGGAATCCTTCTGGTTGGACCACACCCATTAGAGAGGGTATATAAGAGCCCCGGAGTGAGGGGAGACATTCACACCTCAGAAGCTTCATCCTTCTCTTCAACCAAACCAGTAAGACCACAGATTCCCAACAACATGTCTTGCTGTGCTTCCTGCTGCTGCAGTGTCCCCACGGGCCCTGCCACCACCATCTGCTCCTCTGACAAGTCCTGCCGATGCGGAGTCTGCCTGCCCAGCGCCTGCCCACACACCATCTGGTTACTGGAGCCAACCTGCTGTGACAACACCCCCCCACCTTGCCACATCCCTCAGCCCTGTGTGCCCACCTGCTTCCTGCTCAACTCCCACCAGCCCACCCCAGGCCTGGAGAACCTCAACCTCACCACCGTCACCCAGCCCTGCTGTGAGCCCTGCCTCCCACGCTGCTGTTGAACAGCGGCTTCCTGGCCAGTGCCCGACGATGAAGAACCCAGAAGCTGTCTATTCAGTGTTCACCTGCCTCAGTAGTTTATTAGATGTTGGGAGGTAGACCAGATGGCCCAGATATGGAAAACCTAGTAGCTTTCATTTTGATGAAGAGGAAAACAAGATATTTTTCATGGTTATTCAGCTAATAACTATTTGGCTCACTTGGGCAGATGAATATCAACTACTATCAAAATACTACTGAAATCTTTAAGACTTCAGACTCTTCTTTTCTTGGTCATGTTGTTTTCTTGGATCTTATTTCTCATATTGGGTATTTTCATAGAAGCAAAATAATTTCTTGATGGTTTTCCAATAAACTTAATATTTCTGGCAAGATGTGCTCTTTTTTCAGAGTTTTTGCTGTTTCTTTCATTTAAAAAAAAAAAGAGAAATACAATTATTTTATTTTAAAAAGATCTATTAAAAGAATGACTTGGCACTAGCTTTCTAGCTTTAAATTAACTAATGTGTTTACCTTCCCTCCTAATTCCTCGGACAAATACAATTTTGGGATAAGCCAGATTGATTTATTTACCTACACTTTACTAGGCAAATCACATACATTTACTCATTTAATCATTACAACAGCATTAAGTAATGAAAAAAACTAAACCTTTATGAGTCATTAAACATTCCCAAAGTCATAAAGTTAGTTACTAAGAAAACCAGAATTAAATCTGTCATATGTCTGACTGTAATGTCCAGTTCTTTCTACCACGTGTCATACAGGCTTCAGCTCTTAATAGGTGCTTAAGGAACATGAGATATTAACTTAATATATTCCAAGAGAAATAAGTGAAAGATTCAACCATCACATTCAATCATAATAGAAAAAGAATATATTGACTCATAGATTAAGATTGGAAGGTATTCAGTTCTAAGATCTTGGTCATCTAGTGGACTTGCCAATCTTGACTTGATTTTCTCTTAGAGGAAGTCTGAAGAGGTCAATTTTATTTGCAAGACATTAGGAATGTATCGCTACTTGCCACCATAACTCAGCACAGAAGTTCTACCCCAGTATTTAATAGAATGCCAGTACTTTTCCATAATGGACTGAGACTTACAATTAAAACCCTAATTAAACATGCCACCTACTTAATTTTATCTTGTATAGATTATCCCTATCCCTGCTTAGAAACCATATGTGTGTGTGTATGTGTATATATATGGGAGCTCTGGTAGTGTAGTGCCTAAGGCATTTGACTGCTAACCAGAAGACTGGCAGTTCAAACCCACCAGCCACTCCTTGGAAGGAAGACTGGGCAATCAACTTCCATAGAGATACTGCCTCAGAAACCCAGACAGGGTCGCTATGCGTCAGGACCAACTCAAGGGCATGAGTTTCATTTTATGTTTTTTTGGTTATAAAATCTAATATCCATTTGTATCTCAGATAAAACAATAATTAAATTTCATTTTTACCCATCAAATTGGCTAAGACTTTTAAAGTAAAATACTCCTCAAAAAATAGGTTAATGGATGTGGAACAAAACTCAAAACCATTAAAAAAAAAAAAAAAAAAAAAACGGGAACCAGATTTGCTGGTCTGATAGAACCTGATGGAACCACTGAGACTATGGTCCCTAGCTGCCCTTCAGGTCTGGAATTGAACCCACTCCTGTGGCTTCCAGCCAAACAAAAGACAGGCATATGAGTTCGACATATACATTAGTTAGGTACACTCCTTGGAGAAACCAAACATGGGAGAATAGAAAGGCTGTGTATACACAGGGAGACAGCTCTGGGGGCAGGAGTGCATGGAGGGAAGCACACAGGGAAGAGGTAACTACGGGGAGGAAGTGGGAGGGGAGCTATTGCATTGTGGGAAATTGTAGTCAATGTCATAAGACAAGGTGTATGTGAGCTGCTGTAGGGAAAGTGAATTTGCTCTGTAAACTTTCAAACAAATCACAATAAAAAAAATTTTTTTTAAATAGGTTAATGGGAATTCTTGAGCACAGCTAGTGGGAATGTAAGTAGATAGAACCATTTTGGAGACCAGCATAGCAATTATTGGGACAAATGTTAATTACCAATATTTTAAGGCCTTTGTTATTTATTGCCATACTGATAATAGACAAGGAAGGACTTAACTGTGCTCATGTGGAACCTATACATACACCAAGAGGAAGTCATTCGAGCAGAACAAGGGGATAGTACATGGTTTAATTCAGGAAAGGTATGTGTCAGGGTCCCAAATTCACAGCTAAATCCTGAATTTGGAAATCTAATATCCATTTGTATCTCAGTTTGTCATATTGTGGTGGCTTGCACGTAGCTGTGATGCTGAAAGCTATGGCACCAGTATTTCAAATACCATCAGGGTCACCCATGGTGGGCAGGTCTCAGTGGAGCTTCCAGGGTAAGACAGGAGGACTTGAAAAAAAAAAATGACCACTGAAAACCTTATGAATGGCAGTGGAACATTTTCTGATATACTGCCAGGAGATGATCCCCTCAGGTTGGAAAGCACTTGTAATACGACTAATATGACTGGGGAATAGCTATCTCCTCAAAGTAGAGTTGACTTTAATTACTTGGATGGAATAAAGCTTTCAGGACTTTCACTTGCTGATGTGGTATGACTCAAAATGAGAAGAAACAGCTGTAAACATCCATTAATAATGGAATTGTGTATGAATCTAGGAAAATTGGAAGATGTCAAAAATAAAATGGAATGCATAAAGATCGATATCCTAGGCATTGTTGTTGTTGTTGTTATGTGCCGTCGAGTCGGCCCCAACTCATAGCGACCCCTCCTTGGGTTTCCGAGGCAGTATCACTACGGAAGTAGGATTGCCCAACCTTCCTTCCGAGGAGTGGCTGGTGGGTTTGAACCGCCAGCCTTCTGGTTAGCAGTCAAGTGCTTTAGCCACTATGCTACCAGAGCTCCTATCCTAGGCATTAGTGGGCTGAAATGGACTGGTACTGGCATTTTGAATCAGAAAAACATATAGTATGTCAAGAAAGACAAATTGCAGCTGAACGGTGTCAAATTCATCATCAAAATGAACATTTCAAGATGTATCCTAACGTACAATACTGTTAGTGATAGGATAATATCCATATGCCTACAAAGAAGACCAGTTAATATGACTATTATTCAAATTTATACATCAACCACTAATGCCAAAGATGAAGAAATTGAAGACTTTTATCAACTTCTGCAGTCTGAAATTGATCAAACAGCAATCAAGATGCATTGATAATTACTAGTGATTGGAATGTAAAAGCTGGAAACAAAGAAGAAAGAACCTCCAAGACTATGACCCTTAGTCACTCATTAACCCTATAAGCCACCCCTGGGGCTCAACTTTGAGCCAAACAAAGACAGGTGTGTAAGGTGAAAAACACCAGGGAGGTAGGTACTCCCTAGAACACCCAACCATATGAGATCAATGGGCAACATTTGCCCAGGGATAAAGCTCAGAAGGCAGGAAGGAATAGGAAAGAAGAATGAATGGAAAAAAGGAAATGCAGGAGGAAGTGAGAAAGTGTTATTACATTGCGGGGATTGTAATCAATGTCACAAATCAAAATGTGTAAATTGTTGAATGGAAAATCAATTTGATCTGTAAACTTTCACCCAAATCATAATAAAAAGTTGAAAAAGAAAGAAAGATGTTTACTGTTATTTTATTGACTATGCAAATGCTTTAGACTGGGTGGATCATAACAGATTGTAAATAATATTGAGAAGAATAGAAATTTCAGAACACTTAAATGTGCTCATGAAGAACCTATACACAGACCAAGAGGCAGTCATTCAAATAGAACAAGACGATACTGTGTGGTTTGAAATCAGAAAAGGTGTGCATCAAGGTTGTATCTTTTCACCTACTTAGTCAATCTGTATGCTGAGCAAATAATCCAAGAAGCTGGACTATATGAAGAAGAATGTGGTATCAGGATTGGAAGAAGATTAATTAACAACTGCCATAAGCAGATGACACAATCTTCCTTGCTGAAAGTGAAAAGGACTTGCAATACTTACTGATGAAGATCAAAGACTATATCAACATGGATTACACCTCAGCAAAAAGAAAACAAAAACCCTGACAACTGTACCAATAAGCAGCATCACAATAAATGGAGAAAAGATCAAAGTTGTCAAAGATTTCATTTTACTTGGATCCTCAATCAACACCCATGGAAGCAGCAGTCAAGAAATCAAATGGCATATAACATTGGACAAATCTGCTATAAAAGACCTCTTTAAAACATTAAAAAGCAAAGATGTCACCTTGAGAACCAAGGTGTGCCTGACCCAAGCCATGGTAATTTCAATTGTCTCATATCCATGCAAGAGCTGGACAATGAATCAGGAAATCCAAAAAGAACTGATGTATTTAAATTATGGTATTGGCAAGGAACACTGAATGTATCATGAACTGGCAGAAGAATGAGCAAATCCACCTTGGAAGAAGTACAGCCAAAATGCTTCTTAGAAGGAAGAATGGTGAGAAGTCATCTCACCATTTATATGTGGAAGGACCAGTCCCTGGAGAAGGACATCATGTGTGGTAAAACAGAATGTCAATGAAAAAAGAGGAAATCCCTCAACAAGATGGATTGACACAGTGGCTGTAACAATGGGCTAAATCATAGCAATGACTGTGAGGACGGCACAGGGCTAGCCAGTGTTGTGCTCTGTTGTACTCAGGGTCACTATGAGTTGGAACCAACTCAACAGCACCTAACAATGACTATCCATCTATCCACAGAGAGAGAGAATATCTCTCAAAGATAAGATTTTGGATAAGTTGGGGTTTCTTTGTACTTTTCTGTATATTTTTCAAATTTAATATATAATATTGTATAGTTAGAAAAAGGAATAAGTGGGTTTTGTTTTGTTTTGTTTTTTGCCACTTCACCATACTTCTCAATAGCATACTTCTCCACATTAATGTGCTTTTGATTTTCAAAAACTCTAAAATTAAATGAAAGTTATTAAAATTAAGCTCAAATCTTTAAAAAAAAAAAAAAAAGATAACACTTTATCATACCAATTCCTACAGATAAAGGTGAGGCTAATAAAAAATTGAGCAGCAGTAGAAAGAAGGCCTATGCACTACAGGTGTACTGTCACTCAGTAGTCCCCTGCAGGGCTAGTGTTGGAATATAATAGCAGAAGCCTTTTGTGATACCTCATAAAGCTGTGTTCTAGTGACAAATAGTAAGAGTAATCAGTTCAGATTTAGCAAAGAACTCCAATAAAAGTTAATTAGGAGAATAGAGACTCTTTACAGGCATCTAAATGGCAAACCAATCAAAGGATAATGGGTACACGAACATAAACAAGAACCAGGAAAGAAGCCTTCTGGTTGGACCAACACCCATTAGAGAGGGTATATAAGAGCCCCGGAGTGAGGGGAAACATTCACACCTCAGAAGCTTCATCTTTCTCTTCAACCAAACCAGTAAGACCACAGATTCCCAACAACATGTCTTGCTGTGCTTCCTGCTGCTGCAGTGTCCCCACGGGCCCTGCCACCACCATCTGCTCCTCTGACAAGTCCTGCCGATGCGGAGTCTGCCTGCCCAGCGCCTGCCCACACACCATCTGGTTACTGGAGCCAACCTGCTGTGACAACACCCCCCCACCCTGCCACATCCCTCAGCCCTGTGTGCCCACCTGCTTCCTGCTCAACTCCCACCAGCCCACCCCAGGCCTGGAGAACCTCAACCTCACCACCGTCACCCAGCCCTGCTGTGAGCCCTGCCTCCCACGCTGCTGTTGATTGATAACTACTCTGTCCTGTGCCTGACACTGAAGGAATCAACCAAGAAGTTTTAGTGTTCACCTGTCTCAGTAACTGTAACTATCTTCTTTGTTTAAGAAGATGGACAAGGGGTGGTACTATCATTGACAAATCCCCCCAAAAAAGGAAATCAAGAGACTTTCAATGCCCTTGTAGCTGATATTAGGAACCAAGTAAAGTTTGAATAGGTGAAATGCTGTAGGCTTCCCAAAGTTGTTCAATTTCTTCATATCAGTGTGGATCTTTCTTTGGGTACTTAGGGAATTCTGTTTCCAGTCTTGAGTATCTTTCTGGAAATTGAGAAGGTTCTTCATGATCATCCTAATAAACTTCACATCTCTGGCATAGCACATATGTCTACAATTACTTTTGTTTATTTCTGTCCATTGGTTAAATGTTTCTTAACTCCAGATGTTAGCTTTCAAGAAAAACTAGGAACATCTGAAAAATTAAAAATGGTGGCAGTAGTGACAATTATTTCTTACTATTGTTGTTCTGGCTGTTTTAAGAAAATTAAATGGCCTTGCATAGAAGATGGTTCAGTACTTTGGCATAATTGGAAGTAGACTTTTCCCTAACTCATCCTCCCCAAAAATGGTTTAAGGTAGGTTGGGAAAAATTTACTACGACTCGAAGACCAAATATGACAAAACATGTCAACTAATCCAGGTAAGTTTATCTATTTATGTAAAAATAATAATGTCATTATTTATCTATCAATTATTTATTAAATACTGATTATGTGTTCTGTTCGGAAGGAAGATGGGGCAATCTACGTCCGTAGTGATACTGCCTCGGAAACCCAAGGAGGGGTCGCTGTGAGTCAGGTCCGACTCGATGGCCCACAACAACAACATGTGTCCTGTATTTTATCACCTCTACTCAAAATGACCTGATGATCTAGCAAATGAAACAGATATATATACAATACCCATTCATTTCTTCATAAAACCAAACCCAAACCATTGAGTTTCCCATTGAGTCGACTTCAACTCACATCCCTTCATACAGTTAACAACTTTTTACTGAGTTCCAGGTAATATACTGTAATAAAAAATATGATAAGCATACTGTCCATCACATTATTCAAGTGCTGTGGGACCATAAAGTTGAAAACAATTAAGATTGTTGCCATAGGGATAAAAAGGGGAAAGATATAAGAAAAAATAAAGTGTCTGGAGCTGTTGGTCAGAGATATGAAAGAGAAGAAGGTATGAAAAAAAAAAAAAAAAAGGTAGGCAGTGGGGTTATGTCATCAACTGAGCCTGGGAGCAGAAGAAGAGAGAATTCCAGAAGGAAATCATGTATCCTGCTCAAGATATGTCAAGTTGAAGGCACAAGTAGCATATCCAAATGCAGTTCAGACTGCCGGAATTTGCAGAATAGTGTTTGAGGGAAGAAGAAGATGTATGAAGAGAAGGACAGAAAGCTGTGTCAGGCAGGGTTCCCCTCAAGCATTACCAGAGGGATGAGCTGCATGTAAGCAGGATAAAATTCCATGAACCTCGCAGAGCACGGCTGCTGGAGCATTCAAAGCTGAATGGAAATACCAGCAGCCATTCAGTATTGATAAGGAGCCCTAGTAGCACAATGGTTAAGTGCTCCGCTGATAACCAAAAGGTTGGCAATTGGAACCCATCCAGTGGCTCCACGGGAGAAAAACCTGGGAATCTGCTCCTGTAAAGACTACAGCCTAGAAAATCCTATGGGGCCATTCAACTCTGTCACAGGGGGTCACTATGAATCAAAATCAATGCCACGGCACTTAACAACAACCTTCAGTACTGTTGTTGTTGTTGTTATATGCTGTCGAGTCGGCCCCAACTCATAGCGACCCCTCCTTGTGTTTCCGAGGCAGTGTCACTACGGAAGTAGGAATGCCCAACCTTCCTTCCGAGGAGTGGCTGGTGGGTTTGAACCGCCAGCCTTCTGGTTAGCAGTCAAGTGCCTTAGGCACTATGCTACCAGAGTTCCAACCCAACCAGAGTGGAAAAAGTTCTCTGAGCACCTCACACATTTAACTAATGTTCCAGAAAGGACACACCAAAAAGTAAAAGTCACAACCTTGATCGACACTAAAATGCATAAAAATATTAAAAAAAAAAAATGCAATGTGACAGCTGCTGTATTGGGGAGATGTACAAATTGTTATACAAGAGCCCCCATCTCAACATGAAGCAGTGGGATGTCATTTCAGCTGAGTTTTGATTTGTGAGTTCATCAAGGAAAGGGACAGAGAAGAGCATTAGACAAAGGAAAACACGCCTGCAAAGCCCAGAGGTGTGATTGGAGTCTGAGATACCTTTGAGAGAGGGTATCTGGGAAAAAAACTAGAAATGCAAATTGGCATTAGATTGAGGAAGGTCATATATATGAAGCTTAGAAAACTGGACCTCGTAAGTGCTGAGTGACAAAAATAGACTTGTATTTTAGAAGAATGATTCCAACAGTAGTAGGTTTATGTTCTGGGGTAAGAGTATAACATAAAACAAAAGAACTGTGTCATCTTTATTATGACCTTCCATGGTATCTATTTATTTTTCTTTATTCCTAATGTCCCCTGGGAGTCCTTGGGTAGCACAAGTGGTTAAGCACTTGTTCTGGTCACCTAGTGCCGCTCTGACAGGAATATACCACACAGGGGATGGCCTTAACAAGCAGGAGTGTATTCTTACAAATTGTAGGCTTTAAGTCCAAGTCCAAAGTGCCAGGCTCTAGGGGCTGGGTGAAAGCACCTCAACCTTGGAGCCCAGCTCTGCATCCTGCTCCCGGCCCACTGGAGCTAGAGGCGTTTCTTCACTCAGACAACTGTTGGCTGCTGAGGCTGAGAAGCCCCAAGGTTGACAAATAAAAAGGCACAGTCCCAATGTTACCAAACCACATGGCAGGCCA